AAAAGTGCATGGCCTTTTCTTTGTTTGCCGTTGCACTGAAAAACACTTCAGCTCATTTGCATGATTGTGCATCAAATTATCTTGGAACTATGACATGATGGTGTTGCTGACAGAGCGGCACAGCTGGTGGACGACTCGTCGGGCTTCCGTCAATGCATGCGGCTAACTTTTTGTGGCGATTCATTAGCGAAGCCTGGTGTAGCTACATGTGATACGTGCTACCTGCTGCAGCGGCATAGCCAGAAATTTTTTCCCGGAGGGGTTCACACCAACTCGACTGGGGGGAGGGGGGGTACTCAGGCATCACTTTTTTTCTCTGTATAAAGGTGCTGCAAGAGTGATTGATTGATATGTAATGTTGAACGTCGCAACACCACCATAGTGGAGAGACGTTACAGTGGAGGGCTCCGGAAATTTCAACCACCTGGGGTTCTTTAATGCGCACCCAAATCTGATCACACGGACCTACACAGCACTTCCGTCTCCACCGAAAATGCAGCCGCTGTAGCCGGGATTCGATCCCGAAACCTGTGAATCAGCAGCTGAGTACCTTAGCCAATAGACCAGGCCGGGGGGCAGCGCTGTAAGAAGTACTGTAAAATACAGTAAACGACAAATACAGTGCCCGTTTGGATGAACGGCTTCTTATCGAACCATTGAATGGTCTAGTCTTCGAAAACGCAATATTGTGATGACCCACCCAATCAAAGAAGATATCCTTAACCTCTGTTGAGCGTAGATGGTGTAATCCTAGTCGGTGAGCATGATATGCAATAAGTTAATTTTTTTAAGAGATGCTGCACGATGGCAACACGATTTTGCACACATTATTTTTCGGGCAAACTTTCAGTTGCACTGTGACATTTCATAGCAGTGAAGTACTCCAATCGTAGAGGTTTCATTGTGCAATCTGCGAGAGCAATATAATCATTGATGAGAAATGTACACTTGTTCTCAATCGAAAGTGCACATGCGACCGGATTATACCTACTCGCATAAAACTTAGTCGCTGCGCATATGCGCTAAAACACTTAAATACGCAGAAAAATCGCGATATGTTGAAAGGTTTAAAAAGCTTCTTGTTTTTAAACTTTCTGGCTCAAACATTAACCCCAGTGTTCTTAATTGGATTGAAGCCTTTCTAAAGGACTGCTCGCAATCAGTTTTTGTTAATGAGCAGATTTCTAACACTCTTCCAGTAACGTCCGGTGTCCCTCAGGGCTCTGTATTAGGCCCTTTATTGTTCTTGATCTATTTTAATGGGTTACCTTTGCACGTTTCATGTCACATTCGTATGTTTGCCGATGATTGCATCATTTATCGTACCATTACTAAGTCATCTGAGCAGCAATCCCTTCAAGGTGACCTTAACTTTATTTAAGCATGGTGTGATCAGTAGCTCATGACACTTAACCCAACCAAATGCAAATCACTGTCCTTCTCGCGTCGTCAAAGCCCCTTAACTTTCCCTTACAGAATCGGTAACGTCGCCTTGGACGCAGTACCTTCTTAGACATGCCTTACCTTACCTAGGTGTAACACTGTCACATGATCTAACGTGGGGTGAACATATGAACATGATCACGGGTGGTAACAAATTGCTCGAATTTCTAAAACAGCATTTACGTCACAGTTCTAAACATTTAAAACTGCTTGCCTACAAATCCATCATCAGACCAAAAACTTGAGTACGCAGCTGCTATTCGGAGCCCGCCTCAGGCATATCTAACAAATTCACTTGAGGCTTTACAGAACCGCGCGGTACAATTTATTCATTCTTCATATTCGTATCATGTCAGTGTGTCATCATAGAAAGAAGGATCATCCCTATCAACGCTTGCACTTCATCACCACATTGCTACATTAGCCCTGTTTCACAAGTTCTATTACAGCTCACGTGACCAGCCAGACTTTATCACCCCTCCAGCCCGCATATCTCACCGCACCGGTCATGCCTTGCAAGTCGCCAGAACACGCAGCCCCACCACGACATTCTCCTCTTCCTTCTTCCCACATGCATTTGCTGAATGGATCGACCTTTCCCATAGCACTGCCGCCACTACCTGCCCGACTTTATTCCTGCAAAGTATAACCCATCACCTGTCACGCAATCAACATATGTGGTTGTTTGTACAATTTATATATGTGACACAGGAGACGTCATGGCTATACAATGAACCATTTATTTGTTTTCGTCTTCCTCCTTCTCTACTACTTCACCACACCGTTCTCGTGTGGTTCGTCACACGCTTCCCCCCTTCCCTGAGAGAGACGTAAATGCAGGGGCGGATGATTTCGTCTAAATCTCTCGACATGAACGATGTCAGTCTGGAGTAGAGCCACGCTGCGGTCGATCTCGTAGTTAAGTGCCAAGATCTTGCGTATGATCGTATAGGGTATTTCCATGATTGCGATGAGTTTGCTGCCGTTCTGGTGCCAGGGTGTTTCGTATAGAACAAAGTCTCCCACTTGAAGCTCTAATATGTATCACATTTTTGTATCACATTTCTGTATCACATTTCTTTGTTATTTTTAAGTACCATGTGTTTGTGGGAAATCACTAGTGTTATTCAACATGTTGCAAGTTTCTAGTTTCAATTGAAATGGTGTATTTGCATATTTGCTAAACATCTGTATTTATGTTGGTTTTAGTGTTACTGCTGCCATGTGAGGGCCTTCAGGCACATTCAAGTTGTACTTTGCAGCTTTTCGCCTGAAGGACCCCCAACAATTTCGTTGGAAAATAAAAGCACTTCTGATTTCTGATTTCTGATAAAAGGAACTTCTTGTCATATATGATCTTGTCGATGATGATGTCGGGCCAATAGTACTGTGGAGAGAGAAGCCGCAACGTCTTCTTTACCTCAACATGACCGAAAGCGTCATGAGCTTTTTGGAGAAGAGAAGACCGGAGGGCAAAAGGCACACAGACTTTTCGTATTCCTCTGCGTGTCACTATACTCAGTCCGATCTCAATGGTATGCTCTCCGGGTGGTTTGTCGTGATGCTCTCGCAGTTGCTCAGCAGATAGGAATTGAACTATCGGGCTTCGAGATAGTGCATCAGCTTCAATGTTGTCAATGCCCTTTTGGTGCTTGATGTTCATGTCGTATATGGAGAGTTTCAAGGACCACTGGAAAAGTCGGCCTCGGGGATTCTTGATGCTTTTAAACCATTGCAACGCTGTGTGGTCCGTGACCACAGTGAAAGGTTTCCTGTGTAGATAGCAGTGCCATTTATCAATGGCGTCGATAATTGCTAACTACTCGAGTTCTGTGACGGTGTAATTAATTTTGTGTTTTAGTAACTTTCGTGAATGATATGCAATCGGGTGTTCTTTAGCTTCAAGATCAGCCTGCTTCAAGACGGTGCCGATACCTCTGTTCGATGCATCGCAGTATAGCACACAAGGCTTTCCTGCATCGTTGATGTTAAGGATAGGCTCTTCTGTCAAGCATTTCTTGAGCCGAGTGAAAGTCAGCTCACAATCCGAATCCCAGTTCCAGGCGGCGTCTTTGCTGAGCAGGCATGTCAGTGGGTGAGAAATTTGACTGAAGTGGTTGATGTATCGACGGTAAACATATCGACGGTAAACAGCAGAAAAAAAGGAGTGAAGAGTGGTTTGTTTGGTGAGCTTGAGTTGTTTTTACACAAGGTACGCACCCATGCCTGACAAACCAGCTAGAAATTCTTGACAAGTCTCATGCTGAAAATAGCACTGCAAAAGTTCAACAGCCTCTTTAGCTGACCGGTCAGGTGGCACCACTGCACTGGCAGTATTCTCATCACATTCATCGCTCGAAGGTTGATCCTCATCTTGCACTTTGGCAATCATTTCCTCAACAGTCTCTTCATGACAGGTACAAAAATTTGAGCATTTAGATCAACTGATTCGTAGTCCTGCAGCGTGAAAAGGGCAGAGGGCACGACTTGACTGAATATTGTCTCAATGTCGGCATCAGCAGGGCTTTCTTCGTCATCAGGTACGGCTTTGTTGTGCTTGAAAGCCATCATAATGAAAACATTTGTGTTGCCTTCACTTGCTCCCAGGCACAAGCCAAAATGTGGGTGGCTGCGAATAAATTTATGCTGTAGCACTTCCCAATGCCTGCTCTAATCAGCATTTGATGGAGCAATTGTCTGGGGTAATGAACTTTCATGTTATGATTAATCCCTTGATCCATATCGATGGATAATTGGCTGACTATGGGCTGGGCAATTATCCTTGATGAAGGCCAGCTTCCTGCTTTGCCTCATAAATCTTGCGTCTTCCTCCCGAAGCCAGTTTTCGAAATAGGCCATGGTCATCCACGTTCTTCCGTACCCATGGTATGCAACGTGCAGTTGTCGAACGCCTTTGAAACAATGTGGGTGCCTTGATTCTCCTGTCCCAACAGCTTCAATTTCTCATCTCCTGCCATGCTTGAACCTGCCAGCACAGTGATGCGATCTTTACTGCGTTTTCCTCCACAACAGGCTTCGCCTTTGAAGGTGAGAGCCTTTGATGAAAGCGATAAAAACACCATCTTGTTGTCGGTGAAGATGTCTCAGGGCTCAAAGCTCCTCACTTTTCTAAGCTGCCCCTGCTGCCAGTCTGTGCAAATGTACCTGTTTACTGCACCACTCTTACCTGAGATTGCTTTGAATACTAGGCCACTGGGTGTTTTGAAGCAGCTGAGCCATTCGTCGCTTAGGACAAAGTTCTTACCACTTATTTACATGGCGATCTCTTCAGCTTACTGCTCGAAAATCGGTCCGCTTAGGGCAAATTGGAACTCCGTGCACGCTTGAACCACAGAAAAAGAACTATTTCTAGTTGTTGATTAGGCGTCATCCGAATCTGTTTAACCCTTTGTTGGACAGCGGGACATATACGTCCCACTTATTATTCCACGCACTCGGCGCCCTAGCTCTTTGAAAGAGCTCATGCAATCACATACAAGCCACTAGCGCCATCTATTGAGTATGCTAGAACATTCTGTATGCAATTTTGTGGCGTTTCCACTAGGTGGAAGCACGCAACAAGGCAAGAAGCAGTTTTTGTTTTTTCACTTGCGCGTTGCAGTTTTTCGGTGTTTTTGTGAGGTTCTTTCAAGCAAGAAAAAAATGTCTGGTGAGTAAATCTTGTCTTTCTTGCACTTCAGTAACCACTTACAAACAACTAGCAGGTATATTTTGTGATGTTTAGCAGTGCATAGATAAACGGAACCTGTTTTACGAATAGTAGTGGGAATCACCTGTTCCACGTTAGGCTTAGCGTTGCGCAGCAATAGTGTGGGGGCAGTTCGGTCCATACTGATTGCTTCTTTTCTTTTTTTATTAAGATAACAAGAAACGTCTCACTGCTGAAGAAGCACTTGAATTATTCTGGAGCTTGCCAGAGAACTCTAACAACAGTGATGATGAAGAGTTCGAAAGCAGTGAAGATGAAGTTTGGGATCTACCACCCGATGAGTCCAGCGAGAACGAGAGTGATGTTGAAAACGCTCCCCCCGCTTCGTCGAGCATGCTGAAGAAAAGACGGCGTCCACCATATGCAGGCAAAAGAAAGAAAAAAAAAAGGAAAAGTGCTGTTTCTAAAGCCGACACTGAAAATGATTCAGAAGGACCTCAGTGGGATACGTCGACTGTTTGTATGCCTACGCCTACGAATCACAGCTTCACGATCTCCCAAAGACTCAGTCCGACAATCACTGCCCTTGACGCGTTCTCCTTGTATTTCGATAATGAGGTCTTGGACCATATTCTAGAACAGACAAATCTCTATGCTGAACAGACACAGCGAAAGGGATGGGTGCCGCTGACACGCGATGAGCTTGAAGCTTACATTGGGATGCTGATCCTTATGAGCGTCAACCGCATGCATCAACTTCAAATGTACTGGTCTTCCGATAGCTTTTTCTACGTGAATGAAATTGCCAAAGTGATGACATACAAGCGGTTTCAGATGATATGCAATTGTCTTCATCTGAACGACAACGACAAAATGCCAGGCTATGGTGACAAAGATTTTGATCGCGCATATAAAGTGCGTCCTTTGATCAACATGATGAACAAAAAGTTTCAGACGGAGTACAACCCATCGACACATGTTGCAGTTGATGAAAGCATGATTTTGTTTAAAGGACGCTCAAGCTTGAAGCAATACATGCCTATGAAGCCCAAGATAAAGAGGGGCTACAAGGTATGGTCCCTCGCAGACTCCGAAACGGGCTACCTGCTCCAGTTTCAACTCTACGAGGGGAAAAACGCTCAAAAACCACTTGACCGCACATTAGGTGAGCATATTGTTCTCTCACTAGCAGATGGTGTCGTGCCCACTGGTTCTCAGTTGTTTTTCGATAATTTTTTTTCATCAACAAAACTTTTGCAAGAATTGCGGGACATAGGCATTTTTGCCTGCGGAACTTTCCGTACAAACAAGAAAGGCCTTCCGCCTGAGGTGAAAACTGACAACAAGATGGACAGGGGTTCATACTTGTGGCGAAGAAAGCGGGACGTCATTGCCTACCAGTGGAGGGACACAAAGAATGTCCACCTGATGTCCAATTACCACGAACCAGAATGTCGCGTCGATGTTCAAAGGACGCTGCCGAATGGCAAAAAAATATCAGTGGAGTGCCCTCAGGTGGTCAAAGATTATAATGCATGGATGGGTGGCGTCGACAAGTTCGATCAAAAGAGGAATGCCTACCCTGCAGACCGGCGGTCTAAGCGATGGTGGAGTAGAATTTTCTACTTCATTCTTGATGCGGCGATTGTCAACGCATTTATACAAGCCAACTCCATCGAGAATGTTGGATACCTTCACTTCCGCCTCAAGCTTGGCAGACAACTCATCGCACAAAGGAGCTTCCGCAAGCCTCGGAGGACCATCACTGCCTTCAAGAATAAGCGAGGCAAGAGCAACGGTCGCGCGATGACTGGTGTTCCGGATGAGAGTCGGTTCTCCGGAAACACTCACCACCCAAGCTTCACAGGCACGCGACGGCGGTGCCGCTGGTGCTCAACCAGCATAAGAGAAGTCCGCACGAGGTATATGTGCAAAGTGTGCAATGTTCCGCTGTGTGCAACTTGCTTCGCACCATTTCACAAGAAAGTGTGAACTGCCTCAAGTGGACAGCGGGACATATGAGTCCCACTTTATCGAAGTGACCTAAGTGGACAGTGGGACATATAGGTCCCACTTTTTTCTTTGCAATAAAACACTTCTCGACTTTCAGATTTGTTTTCTTGGGATCAAGAAGTGATAAATAGCTCACTAAAAATGTTTTAAACATGATAACTTTTGTTCCCTCGTTGTGTCCAACAAAAGGTTAAATGTAAAGGTCCTGTTCTTAACAGTGCCTTCAATCTTTTCTCTTGTCTTTCCAGATCCGCGACAGCGTCGATTTCGGGATGTATTTTTTCGCCACATCCGTCTTGGGCAGGCCCCTTCGCTCGAGCTCCTGAAGAATTCGCAGCATTTTTTCAAGCGAGAGTGTATGGTGCGGCCACTTCCTTTCCTCCATCAGGCTGAAATAACACCGTAATCCACCACGTTTCGCCGCACAAATAGGCCTAATGCACAATTGACTCGCCGACTTGGCTCCCACAGTCACAAGGGAGAATGGCTACTGGATTAACTTGTCTCGATCTCAAGGTGTTGCCATGGTTATGAGACTACCATTGGCATGAGCGAGTTTATGCTGTGTTTAGAATTTGTGTCGTTTAACCATAGGTGACTGTTTCGATTAACTGGTGAATTTCACTGCCCAACACATAGAAATCCAGCCATATGAGCCCGTTTAGTTTTGTTAATGAGGCATTTTCGTTTAAGCGTTGTTTCGTTTATTGGGAGTCCACTGTATGTGTGTGTGTGTGTGTGTGTGTGTGTGTGTGTGTGTGTGTATATATATATATATATATATATATATATATATATATATATATATATATATATATATATATATTGTAATAGCACAGGTTCAGCTGACGCTTTATTCAAACAACAGCAAGATGGCACCGATAATGTAGAGGCCCAGAACAAAGACTGATGATGGTTATTGACAGATGAGCAAGATGGCACCGATGATGTAGAGGCCCAGAACAAAGACTGATGATGGTTATTGACAGATGAGAAAGGTGACGTCCAATGAATTCTTACACTAATTTCCCCCGTCGACAGAAGCGGCCAGCCTGGCCGCGAATCACGCTGTGGAACGCATACGATAGGGCTTGAGACGCGAAACGTGCACGATCTCTGTCCCGCGGCAGCGTTGGTCAGTGGGGGCATGAACAGGTGTGACACGGTAGTTCACCAGTGAGGTCTGTTCAACAACTTTGTAGGGGCCAAGATAGCGTGACTCAAGCTTCTCGCATAAGCCAGGCGTTCGCGCAGGAGTCCACAGAAGTACATCGTCACCAGGGCGGTAGAGAACGACACGGTAAGTGGCATCGTAATGATGTTTGCGATCTTCTGGCTAGCTTCGGTGTTTACACGGGCAAGACGACGGCATTGACCAACAAACACGGGACAGAAACTGGTTGCAAACGAGTGGTGAAGAGTTGACGGGGCTAGAAAAGAATGAAACGTCGAGTGGTGATGTCGGTTGGCGTATATACAGGGAAAAATGGAGAATAGCCTGTGGTTCATTGAACTGACGTATTATATGCATACGTGACAAAGGGAAGTATGGCATCCCAATCGCGATGGTCCGGTCGGATATACATAGACAGCATGTCACACAGCGTGCGATGAAATCTTTCCGTTAAGCCATTGGTTTGTAGGTGATAGCTAGATGTTTTATGAACTGTTTTTTATGCTTGAAGAACTTCACTGAGTACACTTGAAAGAAATGCCTTGCCCCGGTCGCTCAAAAGAACACGAGGGGCTCCGTGATGTAGGTAAATAGCATTCAAGAAGAAAGTTGCTACTTCTGAAGCAGTTCCTGCAGTGATCGAGGCCGTCTCAGCGTACCGGGTCAAGTGATCAACCGCGGTGACGATCCATCTCTTGCCGTCTGATGTAGTTGGTAGGGGCCCGAAGAGGTCAATTCCGACGACAGAGAACGGCTCTGATGAACAAGGAAGTAGTTGTAGGGTCCCGACTGGAGCAGTAGTGGGCCGCTTGCGGTGTTGGCAAAGTGCGCATCAGGCAATATATTTAGCTACCGTCGTGAAAAGACCTGACCAGAAGAATCGACTGCGGATGCGCTCGTACGTTTTGTAGTAACCCAAGTGTCCTGACGTCGGGTCGTCGTGAGAAGCGCGCAGAACTTCTGTGCATAGTTCGTGTTGTACGACGGGAACTTATCAGTGGCCTTCCGGGTGGAAAATGTATCAATATAGCACATTGTCCTCCAATTTGAATAGTTGCAGTTGTTTCCAGAGCCTGGCATTTGGCGAAGATGAAGCGCCGGTAAGCCGACTGATGATGTCAGTGCAATAAGAATCGGCTCGCTGGTGAGTGGTAAGTACTGACGAATGGGTGGATGAAGATAGGGAAGAAATGGATTATATCGACGAGGCGTCCTCCGTATAGACAATTTGACAAGGGGATGTGACGTGCGCCGAAGACTGCGGCAAAGGGCATCGTGACAAAGCGTCGGCATCTTGGTGTTGTCTTCCAGTCGAAGTAGATGACGTCGAAGTCACATGATTGTAATCGGAGAATCCAGCGGCCAAGTCGTCCCGACATGTTTTTGATTGTGGACAATCAGCAAAGAGCATGGTGAGCTGTCACAACAGTAAAATGTCGAGCATGCAGATACGAAATTTTTGGATGGACCAGACAACAGCCAAGCACTCTTGTTTGGTTATTGAGTACCTCTTCTCTGCAGAGGTCAGAGTGCGGCTAGTATATGCGACAACTTTCTCGCGAAAGGCATGGTCGTGCTGGAGGACTACGGCGCCGATTCCTTGTCCACTAGCGTCAGTGTGAAATATCGCAGGTGCCTTGTTATCGAAATAACAAAGCACCGGTGGGGATGTCAGTGCCTGCTTGAGCTCTTGAAATGAGGCTTCGCATCGATCATTCCAACTGAAGGAACCGGTACTAGCAAGGAGCTAGTGGAGAGGAGCGGTAATAGTGGCAAAGTTGCGAATGAATCGGCGAAGGTATGATGCCAGTCCCAGGAAACTGCCTAGTTCTTTGGAACGGAAGAGTCGCGGAAAGTTGAGGACTGCGGAAATTTTGTCCGGATCGGGCTGGATGCCATCTTTACTAACGAGATGTCCTACAACTTTTATAGCTGTGTTGCCGAAATGGCACTTCTTTGTGTTTAGTTGAAGTCCAGCACTGGCGAGACATGTGAGCACTTAATCTATGCGATGCAGATGATCAGCAAAAGTGGAAGAAAACATGACGATATCATCAAGGTAGCATAGACAAGTTTTCCACTTGAGGCCACAAAGAACAGTGTCGATCATCCTTTCAAATGTGGCGGGAGCATTACATAGGCCGAATGGCATTACGTTAAACTCGTAAAGACCGTACGGCGTAGAAGTCGGTCTTTTCTTTGTCTGCTTCGTTCATTAGTATTTGCCAATACCCGGACCG